TCAGGCATAAACAAAATTACCATTAACTTCAAATTTAGTTTGAAAAGCTTTAAGTAGAGGTAAAAATATCCCCAAGGCCTTCCGGGTCAGAGTGACGGAATGTGAATTAAAAAAAATCATCTGCAACTGAACACAATGATGCTTGAAAACACGGACCAATGCATCGAATTGCTGAACAGCTTGTTGAAAGATGTACCACAACACTTCCCGGTGATGTCGACCAGGCTTCTCAATAATTTTTTTCTCTACAATATATACAGTATGTGTGGCGATCAGTTGGCCAGATTCGCCATATCGCAAAAAGTATGTGTAATAATAAAGGATAAAATAAGTTAAACAGTAAAATAGGAAGGTCCTTGTCTGTACTTTTTGACAGTACACCGCCACTATAGTGGGGTAGGCACGTTTTGGCAAATTATTATTAATATACTTTCGATTCGCCACGAGCCTGTCACTGATGCGCCACCTGTGCCTGGCGAGTTGCTGATGTACTGGACAAGCCTTGTATAGACTGAACAGCAGAACAAGAAGTATTGAATCTTATTACTGCATTTACACATCGAGAAAAATGTATGTAACTATTGTGTGAGTTTTGAGATAAAAGGAGAACTATTATGATTGTTCGTTACGTGGGCATTGCTGTCTGCAACTAACACTATGAATATTCTTTTATATCTTCAGGTTATGTAATGCTTCTGAAATTTTGACAAGTGTGAAAATAGTAATCTGAAGCGAGATCAGGAGAGCATTATAGTTGGTGATCAGTTTAACTTAAGGGAGAAACTGTAGTCTTCGTAGCATCTGCTCAAGGATGAAGTGAAAGGGGTGGGATGAATAATCGCCAGCGTCGGCCAAGGACACTTGTGCTACAATGCTGGTGGGTTGCCATGTACTGTAGTTTTTATGACGGACAATTTACGACGCGGATTCAGTTAAGGAAAAGACTGGTGTTACAATCTCTCCATGGTCATATTTGATGTGTTGAATTCAATTTAGCTTCTCGTTTACACAAGATAGGTAAATAAAGTTGATTCCATCGGCAACTATTGTGCTATTATAGATGTGCGAGGAATGTTGATTAAGAATACATTCCTCTTCAGGGTGGTACATGTAAAGGGCTGTACAGTACTTGAGGTCTTTGTGTCGTGTATCTTGGAGATCATTAGAATATGACGATAATTGTCATATGTTTCTGCCTCTTTCTGAAACATGTAGATAAACATAATATATATTATTATCACTGACCTAACTAACCTAACTAATTCAACGTAACTTAATCTAATCTATCTTACCTTTCCTAACAATTTAACTAATCTAATTTAGCCTCACCTACCCTAACCTAATTCTATCTAGCCAATGATAGTTAAATTAATTGTATCTTTCGGTATATTATTTCTAAAATGGAAGAAGAAATAGGGAATGAAATATGAAACTACAGTTCGAAATGTAAAATCGATAATAACTAGTAGTGTTATCCTGTGTTATGACGCACAGTCCTTGAGGAAGGATTATTTTTCTTGGTATGTTGCCTGTCGTGTGATTAATACGTGACTATTGATTGTCCAAGGTTTTATAAATTTAATTAATTGTAAGAAAAAATTAGAATAAAATTTATGTTTATAAGCTACATGTATGCTATTAGTACAGTCGTAGGTTAAGACATTCATTGACCAGTACGACAATTTGGTTCTAGGTAATTTCACTCCCTGTAATTTGACTCCGGTTATTTGACCCCAGGTAATTTGATTTCCGGCAATTTAACTCCCGGTAATTTCAACAACAAAAAAAAATATTTAAATCGTTTCTTAAAAAAATAAAAAAAAATATTAGAAACACTTCTTAAAAAAAATAAATAATTAAAATATGTTTTAGTGTTCTGTAAGTGCTGAACGGCTGGTTGCAATAGCTGCTAGAGGTTGGATAATCCACTCCTGTTTCAATAAATAATTATAATAGTAATGGTAATAAATTTAACATAAGTATAGTTTGATTTAAGTAGTTAAAAATTAAAGATTTAATTTAAGTAGTTTTGAAATCTATTTTAAGCAAGCATTTAAATTCTAGAATTTTAAAAATCCAGAAGATGGCACTATCAGAGATAAGGCCCAGGACTGTCGGAATTTCTGACTCTTGTTTATCGAACACGCTGATTGGTTCAAATTCGGTACTTCGTCTGTTAATCGGTAAATTGATGACGTAGTCGGTAAGCCGTGACGTCACTGCTCCGACAGTCGGTAAATTACCGACTTTAGGAAATATGCTTTTTCATGGCTAAAATACCATATAGAATACACAGAAATAAATTTTAGATGTATTTAATTACTTTACCTACATTTTACTAGCGATATTTTAGCAGAATTATATTCTGCTCAGTCACACACGAAGCGATATCGAGAGTCGAGACAAGGAAGCCAATGGTCTGTTCCAATGTGATCTCATATAACACTCTGAATGGTGTATAATGCAGTGTTTATTAATCAGAAATTTATAAAACTAATGACAGGAACAATGAAATTCACTTAGTATGAGGACTACTCTAATATAATTACTGTATCTGGGATCTTCGTTACCCCTCACCAGACATTATATTGCAGAAAATAGTAATATTACGTTATGGACTTGCAACCAATCACAACGCGAGCAGTTGAACCAATCAGCGTGTTCTGTAAACAAGATTCGGAAATTCCCACAGCCCTGCCCAGTTGACCCGTTCAGTCGTCCAACTGCTGCTGCCAGGTGAGGGTTGATCATAACTCATTCGTATACCCTTGTTATCATGCCTCACGTCATTACCAGCACCCGGGGAAGGGAGAAACTTGTAGATGATATACCTGGCACAACTAAGGAAAGTTCAGTTTGAACGGGGTAAGAACTACAATAGCAAAAAGAAGTATAGAGATTTGAACAAACGGCTGCAGGTTATTCTTGCTAGATATATATCCAGAGAACAAGATTGACTTTTCACGAGCAATAGCTCATAACCTGCGTCATAAATAATTGTCTTAATAAATAAACGCAATGTTTTAAATGTTGGTGAAATTACCGGGAGTGAAATAACCTGGAGTGAAAATGACAGGGAGTTAAATTACCAGGAGTCAAATTACCGGGAGTCAAATTACCTGAGTCAATTTACTGGAGTCAAATTACCGGCCACCCGATAATTTGTTCCTTAGCAATTACGTATACCAATCTGCTCAGTCGTGTTGGTGAAATTATAACTAAGAGAGAGTGTGTACTAGGGGGCAGTGAAATTTTGCTCAAAGCTGCACTCTTCAGGCATTGTTCCTTATACATATCTAAGACTCCATGCCAAATTTGAAGCTGATATGTCGAGGTTTAGTCTGCCGCATTTTCTACTGAAATTTTTTAATTTGCCTACAGTACTAGCCAAACAGCCGCTGTGGCGGTGCAATGTTCTGTTCAGTGTTTATCAACTTTTTTTTCATATCTCTTATTTCATTTAAGTTGTCTTGTTGCAGATGAGTATGGTGCTATGTCTATATTGATTATCAGCCTTTTCTCATTTCATTTCTCAATGTTGTGTTACTGTACTGTGGAGAAAGATCTGTCCTGGGATCAGAAATACCTGTATAGGATTTGTAAAGGAGTTATCACAGGTGTTGTTGAAGATGACTTGGCTGCTATTGAGCCAGGTCCTCCCTGTGTGTCAAGGTGGAACACCTTATGGAGTAGAATCCTCAGGCTGTATGTAGCAACATCACGACCCAGCCATGAGTTGAAAAGAATTGTCATTACAATAATAAAGTTCAGTGCTCCAATGTGGTTTTACATCAAGATACACCCTTACGTAACACACGGCTCAAGGAACGTATTCCAGTCCCTGCTATATATGAAACACCTGAATAGTGAGGAGGAGACGATAGTGAAGAAGGCTGTCCAGAGAAATGCATACTTCGCCCACACAGATCAACTTCTTCTTGGTATGTGTGCAGATGAGGACATGACTGTTAGAGAAAAAGCTGTCTCAATGATAAGAAAAATTAGAGAGGAGAATCAGCAAAAGGAAGAATGTACTGGCAGATCTGAAGAGGAGGAGGAAGATTCTGATGCTGCTGTTGACGAGAATTTGTTAAACTATACTGATGAGGAGGGTAAAGATGGAGATGGGAATGAGGATGTGCCTCCTGTAGTCAACATGAGAAAGGTGGTGACTCCGAAACTAAAGTGGCAAGCAAAAAACTATCATTCCATGATTAACTGGAGGAATGAACTCAAGACTGAGCCTCCTTACATTGCTTCTCTGTCAAATCTACAGGTTAATGACATTCTTGAGACACCATTAGTGGTGCCCAAGTGGCCAAACAGCACTCAGGCGGTCGAGAGAGGCATAAAAGTGATGACTGAAGCTTGCACTGAAGTGACGGGATACGAATCGAGAGATGGATATATTAGGCAAAGATTATTGTCTAGGAAAATGATGCCAAGGTTCCGCACAAAAAAGAATTTCAATATGAACTTGTAATGATTTTCTATACGGTGTACCTGTAAAATAACATGTGAATTAAATCGATGTCACCCATGTAAAATTTATCATTATTCTGGAAAACATTAAATGACACCTAATTTTTGGTATACACTAAAAGTTGACAAAAAGTCGTTCGCGATGCGGCAGGGTAAGTATGCATGAAATGGCATGAAATTTTGCACAGGTGTTTGTTACAGCCATACAAACGATGCCTGAAAAGTGCAGCCTGCAACTCAAATAAAAGTGTTTTTTCCCTGCCCCCTAGTGTGTACCCAAATTTAGGAGACTAGCCAACGTTAGAACAATTTTAGGCCATTTTCGGTTCTTTTTAACTGATATCTTATCGTTGTGTCAATATTTCTCTTGTGTGAGGATGACCATTATGATAATTGATTCGATTTTTTTTACGATTTATTATATTTTACGTAAAACTTCATTTAAGTGGGTTCAAAATTTGTATATAATAAACTATAAGTGGAAAGACCAACAGTCGAATAACACAAAATCAACTTACAATGGATGTGTAAAGTGAAGCGATGACCCCGACAGTGATGACCGAGACCCAGAGAGGGAAGTCGGTGACGGAGGCGATAGCGAGGGCAGGGGCGTAGATGACGACGGCCTGGTACAGCAGCATCTGTATCACGAACATCCCTCCAGCCACACATCGCACCCAGCGGGACCCAAAGCGCAGTTCCAGGTACTGTAGGCACATCATCCAGCGTAACAAATGAAAATTCAATCAGGTTAACGAAAGGAAACGTTTTTTGGTTAATCATCTACCCGGAATCTTCCTACATAGCGAAGAGCGTATATAGTGAGGTGCAGTACCATTAGAATTCCTGGACTCGTTCACTGAACTCTATGGTTTCACTCACAAATGGTGGGTCTCTAAGAGTAAGTGTATTCTCAACTTAACACTCGAGTCGTGGATAAGGCGTGACAAAGTGTTTTATCAATGCAGTAAGCTGAAAGGCACTACTATCTTCGTCAACGAGGACCTCTGCCCAGGTAAGACTAAAGCCCGCCAACAGCTAATGGTAACATTCTGATTATTTTCTTATTACCACCATGCTATGTGTACTATTCTAGATGATACTAAATGTTGCATAATACTTCCTTGAGATAAATGTACAGGTATATATCAGGTGCCTTCAAGAGAGCTCAGGCTCTCAACTGGCTCAGCCATGTTAATATTGTTATTATTATCCATCCTGTATCTGTGTTCTTCTGGCTAAATAAACTGTTTCAATCAATCAAGTTAGGGTAAGACTTTATCTGGCGTAGCACCTTTCAAATCGCCCTCCGTGATTGACTTACTAAACGCCGAGATAAATTTTCTCCTGCCCTACTGCTGGACGTATGATTACTCGTGTGGTTCCGACAATGAAATTCTTCAAATCTAAACCTGTCAAAATAAATGTTTTTGTCATTAGATTTAACATTCAAAAGGCACATTAAGGGTGATACCTGTGAGGGGTATAATCGTCACACATGCCGTCTCTGTGTTGATCCCTCCCTCTTCAGAGATATTTTTCGTGAGACTGATTCCTAAAAAAAAAGAAAAGTACATGTTTTACATCTTCATAATCCGTAATATGCCTTTTGAATGTGAAATCTGTGGAGTATCGCCAAACTTTTCTTAACTTGCATAATACAGTAAGTTAACTATAATGGCAGTTGTTGTCGAGGGATCGATCTCTCGCTCTTTCTCTACCAATAGTGGTGTCCCACAGGGTTTTGTTCTTTCACCTTCTCTCTTTCTTCTTTTTATCAATGAATTACTTCACACTACAACTAATTCTATCCATTCTTACGCTGATGATTCTACTCTTTACTCTTCTTCACATTTTCCCCTTCCCCCTAACTTTCAAACTAGATCTGTTTCTAGAGCTGATATCATTACATCTATCAATGCGGATCTGTGCAGCATCTCTGAATGGGGAGGTAGAAACTTGGTAAAATTCAACAGTAATAAAACTCAGTATTTCCCAATTACACTTTCCATATCAGATGATCTCCCACCAATCACATTTCAGGACGCTATCATTCTGCCAAATTCTAAAACAGATAGGCTAGGCCTCACCATTTCCTCTAATATGTCATGGAAGCCACACATCTTCAACATTGCTAAAGCTGCCTCCTGAAAGCTGGCAATGCTGTACAGGTGCCGTAGCTACTTCACTCCAGAGCAGTTGCTTCAAGTATATAAGGAATTCATTGGTCCTAACTTGGAGTACTGCTCTCATATCTGGGGTGGCTCTTTTTCTGCCAACTGTTACATAGGGTGGAATCAAATACATTTCGTCTTATTAACTCTCCTCCATTAGTTGACAATCTTTCTTCCCTTTCTCTTCGCCCCAATGTTGCTTCACTCGCTCTCTCTTTTACAGGTACTTTAAAGGGCAATGTTCAGTGGATTTGGCATCCTGTGTACCGCCGGCAAGGCCGTGGGTTCGTAACACACGTCTTGCCCGCGGTGCACACCATTTCTCTGTGGATGTTGGTCACACTAGAATAACCCGTTATAGTACCTCCTTCTTTCCTCACACAACCAAACTGTGGAATGCTCTGCCTTCTTCTGTGTTTCCACGATCATACAATCTGCCTCATTTTAGAAAGCTGGTTTTCTGGCATCTTCGTGGTGTAGATTAATATAACCCTTTCCTTTTCTATTCTTATTTTTTTCATTCTTATTTTTCGCCCCCTAGGCCCCAATGTGGGTCGATGAAATAAATATATATATATATATATATATATATATATATATATATATATATATATATATATATATATATATATATATATATATATATATATTATGTAGATCCACAATGAAAACTGTACAGAATCTTGTGTCCAACCAATGTAGACTAGCCCTGTGAAGCATCGTGTCACCACGTCTTGAACTATATAAAGAACATGTGAGGCGCTGAGGCGATGGAGGGAGGCGGTGACTAGCACGGCAAGGGAAAGTGTCAGCTGGTTTGAGCAGGAGGATGGGCCTCCCTTCACGTAATAATGGACTCATTATGACGGTCGACTGCCATATAGTATTGTTAAGCTTTTTCATGAGAGTTTGGTGAAATTATTCTTGAAAATTATAATTTCATAAATACTTTTCATATTATGATCACAATAAAGTTTATACATCATAATATGCAACACTGTAGAATTAAAATCATTCATTTCTTCGCCATGATATTATGTAAGGATGTTTCAAGTTCGCTAAGAATGGGGGACAAATAATGCGCGTAAATCCGGGTTTGAGCAAAAATTTAATGCCCCACAATTACTTGACAGAGACGTAGGCTTCATTATTGTGTTCACCTTGAAGAGAACTTTTGGAATATACATTTGATAGAATGTGGCTTATATACCCTGAGTTATAATTATTAAATGTATATAAATACCCAAGAATCATCATTTCAAGACTTATTGTGCATCATAAACTCAGGTTTAAGATTCATGGCCTTAATATTAATACGACAAACTATTTACCTCATACACCGAAGTTAGTCCAAGTTCATAGAAGAAGGGCATGAAGACAACTGCGGCCACAGGAAGAGCGATCTGGCCGCAGCAGATGACCCACCACTGCAAGCCATGGTAGTAAGCCTCAGACGGACCTCCTGTACCACCGGAGAAAATGTACTATTGTCAGGAAAGTTAAATAAAAGACAAATATGAAAAACAGTGAATGATAGTAACTACTGGGGGAAAAGTTAATAGTTCGTCGTTTATAATTCCATGAAACTGGGAGTGGGTCGACTGTAAGAAGAGTGGAATTATTAACTCTTGCGTCGTACCTGTTACTGTTGGGCGCGAATGTTACTGACATACTATTTATGATCCAACAGCAAAACATATCTAGGACTCCTAGAGTAGCGAGTGTAGCAGAAGAGAGTAAGTGACAGCTGAATTATTTTAGTATTAGACTCTTGTAGTCAAAAAATATCTAAGGAAATTTGCCAACTTAAAAATCAAATTAATTTATGTTAATTTGGGTTTGTTTTATAAGATGTCATTCATCTTATTGTGTATCTTCCTAGATTAAAATATCAACATGAAAACAGTCAATGAGTCATATGACGAAATCCTGCAAAGCATAGAGTCACGATGAATAACACCATGATGTGAACACTGCTAAATCCTGTGAATTAAGTCATCAGTCCACGTTGTTTAAGAAGACCATCAGACGTCTTGAGAACAAAAGTAATTGTAGAGTGAGACGAAGAGTTCAGATTTAATAAGGATAACTCACTTGCTTGGCACCAACGTGTTATTTGCCTCCCGTCACTTACTGCCTGATACCTCAAAACACTAATTTTAAACCCGACAAACGATATAAAATTTGTCGTTTAGTCAGCATTGAGCCGCACCTGTCTGTCATGTGTGAAGTCGATGAATACTAACCGAGGACAAGGATAGCGGAGATATAGGAGGCCAGGAGGGACATGGAGACTGGGAAGCAAGAGAGGCTTCGGCTGCCAAGGAGGAACTCGTCGTTGGCCTTGTTGCGGCTCTTGATGGCATAGTAGATTCCGATTGCCAAGGAGGTCGCCAGCATCCCGCCGAACACCACGTAGTCCAATACGCCGAAGCTCCCACGCACGCCTTTTGACCAGTCGAAGGATGACTCCAACATCTTTCCTGATGTTTCGTCTCGTTATTAGCGTAGTACCTTGTGTCACCTCAGTTTGCTACGCAGCTTAATTTTGTTGGGTATTAATCATATCATACTGCTGGACGCTCACCCAACATTCTTAGCCTGTTTGTCATAAGATAAAGGAAAATACGATAAGAAATTACAGTTTAGTGCATCAAAACATCACATAAATAACACTGATATAATGATGACAAGATAAAAAGATTATTGGAATTTTTCCATAAATTCAATGTAAAAAATCAACGTGGGTCACTCTGCAGCCTCACCAGGAATACCGTTTATCCCTAAGAATATAAATCATAGGCAGCCCTGTCTACACTCAACCCTTATCACTCATATAGCTGCTGTCCAATCTATATTTTGAAACTTCACAGCGAGTTGGATATAATGATGGTGTTGAGCAGCTTGGTCCACTCATTCGCAACTCTATTTTCAAGCCAATACTCGTATACCTATTTATCTTTTAAATCTATATTTTTTCTTCTAATTTTAAACTGTTGTTAGATACTACTACTACTACTACTACTTTGCTGTCACTCGAAATCGAGTATGAAGATCATCCAGCTATAATGTAATTATATGGGTTATTAAGGATATCACCATAGCTGGTGAGCTTTGAGGTGACTCGAGAGGTATCAACAGGGTCCTCCACGTGTGGAGGGCTACATATAGTGCGGGAGGGGCGGCGGCAGAGTCTTTCCGGTGCTGGCGCTTGTCTTCCTCGGTGTGCAGTCGGGCTAATTCTAAAGTATTGACAACCTTCTCGTGTGGGGCTCCTCCAAGCATTACGGTGTGGGGTGAGCGTCTCCCGGGTGAGGGGGCCGATTTGGCACTTTTTCAGGTTTGTCTTAAGACTTTTCTTATACCTATTCCGTTGTCCGCCAGCGTTACGTTTACTATTCGTAAGGTGACTGCAAAGTACTGTAGCTGTTTTGGGAGTCTACTGTCGTCTATGCGGGTAACATGGCCAGTCCAGCATAATTGTTCATGGATAATGGCAGCCTCGATGCTCCTACAGTTGATGTCAGCGAGAATACTAGCATTTGTTTTCTTGTCTTCCCAGCGAACTCGGAGGATGGAACGTAGACTTCGTTGGTGAAAATTTTCAAGTGCCTTGAAGTTCCTCCTGTATGTGGCCTATATCTCGTTGCCATACAGCAGAGTGGGGAGGACCACTGCTCGATATACGTGCAGCTATGCAGATTATTTCAGCTCCCTACAGCTGAAGACACGGGTACGGAGTCTGCCAAAGGCTTGAAATGCACATCTGATCAGGATGTTGAATCTCTTCATCGATGTTCGCGGTGGTGGACAGGTGGACGCCAAGGTACTGGAAGTGGGTAACATTAGGGAGAGTAGTACCGTTATGCAGGATGGATGGTGGAGGTGTGGCTGAACCAGGGGCTGGCTGAAAGAGAATCTGAGTCTTACATGCATTCACCTCAAGGCCGGAATGAGGATACAGATCTGAGTAGGTGTTCAGGATCTTCTGTAGGTCGTGTTCAGTGTGAGCGATGAGTGTGAGGTCGTCTGCATACTGAAGTTCAGTGATGGAAGCGGTCGACACCTTTGTTCCTGCCTGGAGTCGTCATATGTTGAAAAGTCCCTTCATCCGGTACTGGATGTCTACCCCGCCGGCTAAATTGGCACTGACACGAGTAAGGAAGGCAGCCAAGAAAATGGAAAAGAGAGTTGGTACCAGTACACATCCTTGTTTTATCCCGTTTGGTTGGGGAAGAACTCAGACTGGGTGCCATTGTGTAGAACACTGCAGTTCATGCCATCGTGGAGTTATCTAACAATAGCAATGAATTTTGGTGGGCAACCGTAACGACTGAAGGTTCATCAGAGGGCTTCCCTGCTGTCCTATTCGAAACCCTTAATAAGGTCGATGAAGTCTATATACAAGTCACGACGATGTTCTCTGTACTTTTCCTGTATCTGGTGGGCAGCAAGGATCAAGTCAGTGATGCCACGTGATGGTGTAAAGCCACATTGAGATTCTGGGAGGAAGCTTTCTGCCTCAGGATGAATTATGTTTAGAAGGACTAGGAAGATAATCTTGTCAGCTATAGACAGCAGCGAGATCTCGCAGTAGTTGCCACAGTCTGACCTGTCTCCCTTATTTTTATAAATATTGAAGATCGAGCCTTGTGTTTAAGATCGTGGGGGAATTTTATCCTTCTCCCATATATTCTCCAGGAATCAGTGGAGACGGCTGGTAAGCAAAGGTCCTCCTGCTCTATACACCTCGGCTGGGATTCCATCAGACTCTGTGGCTTTGTTATTTTTTATCTGCTTGCTGACAGTAGCTGAGGTGGGGCAGCTCTGGGTGCTGAGTAACCTGCTAGGTAGTCATGACATCCACATCGGTGTTTCACTTGAACAGCGAATGGTAGTGCTCTTTCCAGCGCTGACGGATGCCTTCTTTTCCTTCAATTAGAGAGTTACCGTTGGATGAGCAGAGGGGGCTACGCCATGAATAGTTGGGCCATATACTTTTTAGCGGAATTAAAAAATTCACGCTTCACGCATCTTGTGTTAAATGGCAATTTTTTTGCATTTCACACGCTTTATTTTTCCACCATTCGTTCAATAGTTTGCAAAGTTCGTGCTGAACCGCCGCCTTTTCCTCCTCGTGAAAGATATCGGCTTTGGGCCCTATTCAAGAACAGTCATAAGGTGTACGACGCCATTTACGATGACCTTCTTGCCCTGATCTTGTTTCAGGACTACCACCTTTTTGAAGGTCTGGAGAGATCTCGAAGTTTCGATATTTTGAGTACTACTAGCTAATAATTCCCACTAGAAAACTTGTTTCGAGACTCCTCCAAAGCTTCGAAAAGTGCAGAGTTCCATGTGTTAAAGGCGATATTGCTGAAAAAGATCAGGACATGAAGGTCCTCGTAAATGGCGCCGTACACCCCATAACTGTTCTTAGGGTTGTACTGCCAGTCAGTGAGAGCAGCACGTTTACTGTTGACGAGTACTTCGATTTTCAGTTCGTTTTCATTAAACCAATCCTTGTGCTTTCTTTTGATCAGGCCAAGTGTCTCTTTGCAGGTTTTTGTGATGACAGCTTTGATGGGACCCCATTCGACACAGGGATTTTGGTTGTTTGTTGTTGGGTTGATTAAATTATCAGTCCATTGTTGCGCTGCTCTCTGAAAGCATGTGCTGCCCCTCTGGAGGCCTGTTGCCTTCGACGTTTTGGGGCGACGTGAGAGGGGAGTTTGGCTATGACCAGCCGATGATCTGTAGCATAGTGGTCTGAGCCACGCACGGCTCGGGTGATGAGGAAATCTCGGTGCAATATATTTAAGTGTATAGGTGTAAGTATATAGACGACGCCTTCAATAATGATGGTAATGATGTTAATGACGATGATGATAATTATTACGATACCTAAAATGAAATATTACCCAACAATGAAAATAAATGTGTATGTCGTGTTACAAGACGGGTGAGTCGTCTCAAGGTTAAATAAACCAGGTTTTCCCAGCTCACCACAGCAAGTCGTAGGGGAAGTTGGCACAAGTCACCTTGTCGACGGCGTCCTGGAAGTGTTGGTCTCGGGGAAGTGGTTACTGGGGCGACGCGAAGAAAAACAAATATACAAATCGAGATTCCTTTTTGTCCTTCAGGTGGTTCTTGCTCTTAGTATTATTCCTTTGCATACTCTCTCTCTCTCTTGCACACACATACACATATAGTTTAACTTCCGAGAGATTCCTGCGCTCTCTCTCTCTCTCTCTCTCTCTCTCTCTCTCTCTCTCTCTTGCACACACATACACATATAGTTTAACTTCCGAGAGATTCCTGGGTGCCAGCTCTCCTTGACCCACCAAAATGAGGACAAGTCAGGGGTTCGAACATTCATTGACAACAACCTTACCTTGTGTGCCTGCCTCTTTTTTTTTTTTTTTTTGCCTGCCTCGCTACCTCCTTCCTGTCGCTTCTCCCATATTTATTATTGTCTTTTCTTCCCAATAGCCTTTCCTTTATAATTTTTTTCCGTGCTTATTCCTTATTAATTTACAAATTTGCCACTTTTAAAAGAATAATGAAAAAGGTATTCTCGATTTTAATTTTAATTGTTTCCTTTCTTATATTTTAGACTTGATTAGAGAGCCCAGGGCGTCTGATGGTCATCTAACCTGATCTGATGAATGTTTGTCTCTCGTGAGGGACGTAATATCAAATGTAGCTGAGGTCGGGTGAGTAGGAGTAAGCTGAGAAGACAGGAGTGAAAGGTCTTGAGGTGAGAAAGTCAGCTGCTCTCCGCCCACCACCAATAAGAGACGTAAAAAGTTCATGGACAGTAGAGTCGGGGTTCACAAACAATTAGAATGGATCATAAACATATCACTGGGGTTCATAAAGACTAACGGGCTCATATACAATAAGGAAGGTTCACAAACAGCTACAAGGCACGCTTAGAGGTTCTTAAACAGAGAGCGAAATTTCTGGAAAGTAAAGGCTCGGGGTTGAAAACAGTTCATAAATACGCATAGGAGTTCATAAACAGCTACGTGGTTCACAAATAGTTAGAAAGGCTCATGAACAGGCAATGGGGTTTTGCAAATAGAGACAGTTGGGTTTATATAGATACAATAGTGGCGCCACCCATCCGTGTCGACAAGAATGTACACACACACACACACACACACACACACACACTTCTATTGTATAAACAAGAATTTTTTTTATTAACACAGCGGATTTGTTGGAATGTACAATTTGTGAGTGAATTGTACAACTAGTTCTTATATAACATTATGTGTTGTGTGTCACTTTATTCATTATATGCTCAATAAATGCCACCGACATCTATGTATCTATCCATCCATTCATCCATTTATGTATGTATGTATCTATCTATCTATCCATCCAACTTCTATCTATCTATCTATCTATCTGTCATCCATCCCTCACTCTTTGGTCAAGGGAAAGAGGAACCTCAATGATGGGAGCTTATGTGGAACGGTACCACGCGAAGGTATTAGGTGTTTCATCATTAATGCTTCACCACGACCACTACTACTTCACCTGCAAGAAACACCGCGTCAATAATAGCAACACTGGACTATTTTAAAACAGTT